AAAGTATATAAGATGATGAAAAATCTATTTTTATAATATTTAATTTTTTTTTTTTTTTTTTTTTTTTTCATTATAGATTAAAAGATATAAACATATTACAAAGAAAAATTAAAAATAAATATCTACAAATATTAATAAAATGAACATCAATTTCATAAAAAGTTATTTTTTCATAATAGAAAAAATTGGAAAACATATGAATTAAATGAAATTTATAAAAATAACTTCTAATTTTATTTTTTTTTCTAACAAAATAAAATTAAAAATATACATAGAACAAAAAAAAAAAAAAAAATAATTCTCACAAAGTTTTATTCTTTTAATTTTTATAAAAACTAACATTTACTTCTTAAAAAAATTATTAATAAATTCATTTTGTTTATGTACCATAAACTTTTTTTCTTTATCAGCAACTTTCATAACCTATAATAAAAAAAAATTAAATTTTACATATATATAGATAAAAGCTATAAATTATTATGTAACTATATATTATTTATAAATATTGTAAAATGGAAATCAAATTCCTCCTATATTTTCCTTCTTTCAATTTATAATTTACAAATATATACTTTTTATTAAAATACAAAAAAAACTATTATGTAAATTAAAATTATCATTAGAAGAAAAAAAAAGAAAAAAGAAATAAAATTCTAGAAGAAAAGAATTACCTCTACCATATATTTAAATTGGTCATAATCTAATAATGGTAAAAATAGTATAGGGGAAATAATTCCTTTTTTATTTAAATGTATTCCTTTTGATCCCAAACCATATAAAACATTTAAATGAAAAGAAAGAGTTTTATCAATTTTTCTTTTATATATTTCATCAATTATTTCTAGTTTAGTCCAGTTACAACTTAATATTTCTGAATGAAGTAAAAAATCTATTATTTTATTTATATTTGCTCTTGGTGGAACACCTTTTGATATTTTTTCAAATGACTTCTTTAAATCTTCATCATATAAATGAAATTTTTTTTTCAGTGTATGTGTATCACGTTTTATTATATTTATTTTCTTAAATAAAATAAAGTGAAATAAGTTTTTATTATTTAAATGTATAATCATTTTACTTGATTAAAATATATAAAAAGATAAAAAACTAAAATTATTTTTTTCATCTATAAATATTTAAAAAATATATATTTTCATAAGTTTAAAATAGGGAATAATATATATACAAATACTATTTTTTTTTTTTTTTTTTTTTTTTTTAAACATTATTTTTTTTTAATTCTTTACTTTTATTATAATTTTATAAAGAATAAAATTAATCCATCAAAAAAATATTCAAAAAGGTTAAGTTATTTACATAATTTTTTTTTTTTTTTTTTTTTTTTTTTTTTATATTTATGTATTTTTATTTTAATTTTTTTTTATGATATTATTTGAAGATTTTATTTTTCTTAATTTAATACAATTATTTATTTTTTTTTTTTTAATCATTTGTGTAATACGTTAAAAAAAATTTTGCTAAACAAAATATCTACAAAATATCAAATTTTTTAAAGTTATATTTTTTATAAATAATAATTTTATATGTGTATTGTATAATACTTACAACTGTAAGTTTATTCTTTAAAGAGAAATTTTACACATTTAAAATATTTCAAAACATTTTAAAATTAAATTATAAAAAATAAAAAATACATAAATAAAAAAATAATGTTATAAAATAAAAAATACATAAATAAAAAAATAATGTTATAAAAAAAAAAAAATACATAAATAAAAAAATAATGTTATAAAAAAAAAAATACATAAAGATTTTAAATGCACAACTTTCAAATGTATAATATAATAATTAAAACAATAAATATATCATTTTGTGTATATTTTTATTTTTTAATTCACTAGTTTCACCAAAAAAAAAAAAAAAAAAAAAAATATTTAATTTTACAATAAAGATAAAAAAAAAAAAAAAAACATTTATACTTCATCATTAACTTTTTTTTGTAATTTCATCTATTTTCTTAACAAATTCATCTCTTGAGGAACTGTTTAGGAATGTTACGATGTATTGACTCAATTTTTTTTCATCACCTAATAAAATAGAATGAAATATATATATTTTATTGAAATCTTAAAAAAAAAAAAAAAGGAAATTAAAATATAAATATATATATTATAAAAATAATCTTAAGTTAAACCATTAAATTAAAATTCTTTTTTTTTTTTTATTTTACATATATCTCTTCCACAAAATAATGCAGACATATTTTTTGTTGGTATAATTTTGAAGCCTTTAAATATATCTGTATTTAAAAATAATCTTCCACTTCCTTTTTGAAAACATAAAATTCTGCATTTGCCATTTTCTTTATTTTTCATTATTTGTATTTTTACTGGTAAATAACCTGACCAGTCATATTTTTCATTTTTCTTTATAAATTTGCTTATTTTTATACTATTTTCCGAATATAATGTTTCTTCACTTTCTACAAATATATAACAGAAATGAAAAAAAAAAAAAAAGATGAGTAATATATTTTGAGAAAAAAGATAAATATATATATATATATATATATATATATATATATATATATATATATATATATATATATATATATATACAGATTTATAAAAAATACTAACCAAAGGCATTTTCTGAAGCACTCATTTTAACTTCCTTTTTTTCATCAGTGAGATTTTTCTTTTTATTTAAACTTTTTCTTAATTTTTCTATATCTATATTTATGTTTCCAAAAATATTTAATTTCTCTATACCTTCGTTATTAAATAATTTATTAGGTGAATTTGATTCATTCTAAAAAAAGAAGACAAAAATATATTTATGAATATTTTTAATTTTTTTTTATTTCAATAAATATAACTTTACAATTTCTTTAAATATATATTAATTTTTTTTTATTCTTTTTTTCTAAATACTAATGAAGAAAATAAGCGGTCATTCTTTTTTATATGACTGTTTTCACTAGCAACACTTTCACTATCACTGCAAAAAAAAAAAAAAAAAAAAAAAAAAAAATATTAATTTAGGTATTTTTTTTTTCTTTTTTAAACTAAATTCGTTTAATTATGTTATTTTTATTAATTTAAAATTACCTTTTCTGATTTCTATTGCTATTAATCTTTTCTTTTGATTTTTCATTTTTTTCTTCTCTTTCTATTTCTCGTGAATTTCTACTAGCTTCTTCATCATCATCTTTTTCTTCTTCTTTTTCCACTTCTTCATCAATTATTCTTTCTTCTTGCATTTTTTCATCTTTTTCTTCATCATCTAAATCATTATCATCATAATTATCATTACTCTCTTCTGATGCATAACTTTTTAAGGGGGGGTTTCTTTTTTTTCTTTCTTTTTCTTTTTCTCTTTCTCTTTCTCTTTCTTCTTCTTCTCTTTCTGCTTCTTCATCAATTTCTCTTCCTTCCTCTTCCTCTTCTTCTTCTTTTTCTCTTTCTATTTCCTCTTCAGCTTTTTCATCTTTTTCTTCATCATCTAAATCATCATCATCATAATTGTCATCGCTCTCTTTTGAAGTATCACTTTTTGATGGGGGGTTTCTTTTTTTTCTTTCTTTTTCTTTTTCTTTTTCTCTTTCTTCTTCTTCTCTTTCTGCTTCTTCATCAATTTCTCTTCCTTCTTCTTCCTCTTCTTCTTCTTTCTCTCTTTCTATTTCCTCTTCAGCTTTTTCATCTTTTTCTTCATCATCTAAATCACTATTGTCGTTATCATCTTCACTGTACCTCTGTTTAGAGTAGGCATTATTAGCATTTTCATTTTCTTTTAATTTTAAAATGGAATCCTTTTGTTGATTCATATTATTATTACTATTTAAAATTCCTTTTTTTTTCTGAGTTACTTTTCCTACTTTATTTTTCTCTTTTTCAATATTTTTTTTTTTAATTGCTTTTTTAGTTTCTTCTGCATAATTTTTGTTTCCTTTATCATTTTTCTTGTTTTTTATACTGTCTTTTTTTTTATATACTTTTATTACTTTATCTTTGTCATCTGTTTGTTTTTTTGATAAAATATTTTTATTTTTGTCTTCATCTTTTGAAATACCATCAATAAATTCTCTTCCTTTCTTCAGAGTTTCATCTTCATTTTTTGAAGTATAACTTTCTGATAACTCAAGCTTTTTTTTATCTATATATTTTTAATTTAAAAAAAAATAAATATATAATAAAATATTAATTTTTTATTTTATTTTTTTTTTTTTTTAAAATATGTGTAATTATTTTTTCTTTTTACTGTCTTTTGTTTTAAGTTCTGTATTATCAAAATCAGTTTTTGCTATCTAAAAAAATTTTTTTTTTAAGAGTAAAATCAATATAATAATTATTGAATTAATATAAAGAGATTTTATTTTTTTTTTTTCTTTCTTTTTTAATTTTAACTTTAACGGGTGTATTATTTTTTTCTATGTTACGCCTAAAGTAGAAATTTATTTTTTTTTTATTTAAAAAAATATAACACATATATATAGTAATTTTTATATATACATTTATGTATAATATATTTACATGAAATTAATGAAAATATAAATTTATTATTAAATTTACATAAAAAAATTAGTGTAGAATTTCATATAAAATAATTAAAAAGCAAAAGTTTATTTCTTTAATATTTTTTAAATTTATAATTGTTTGCATACTTTTTAGGATTTTTTGTTTTAGAGTTATTTTCCTTCGCTCTAGATAAGTTTAATTTCTATAAAAATGAAAAAGAATTTTTTTTATAAAAAAAAACAAAAAAAAAAAAATTAATGATTTAGTAACTGTAGAAAAAAAGAATATCACATCTAATAGATATTATTATAAAAATTAAACTAATTTCTGTTATTTTTTCCATTTTTATATATATATATTTATTTTATATTCTTACTTACCATTGTGTTTTTAAATCAAGTAGAAATCACCTTTGAATAAAGTACATATATACATTAAATTTTTTTAATGAAAGATAGTTATTTAAAAAATTTTATTTATAAAAATATAAATATAAAAAAAAATGAAAAAAATGAAAAAATAAATTATACGTTTTAAAATTTGTTTTTCTTTTAATGTAATTATTATTTATGCATTTATTATTTTTTTTTTTTTTTTTTTTTTTAAAATTAACATATCTAATTTTTTTTCACATAGAAAATAAATAAAAAAGTCATATTTCATAATTTATTTTTTTTTCTTATTTTTTTTTAAATTTTTTATCATTTTTAAATAAAGAATTTTGTACTATTTTATGTTTTAAATATATATATATATTAATTTTTTATATTTTAATTGTATCTTTTTTTTTTTTTTTTTAAATAATTAACCTTTAAATTCATTAATGAAATTTTAAGGCTACAACACATTATAATAAAATGTTTGAATTATCTAAGAAATGAGAAAACATATTTTTTTTAAAAATTAAATATTTATTATTTGTAACACATTTAAATTAGAACAAGAAAAAATAAAAAAAAGGTTGAAATGTAATTGAAAATTAAAAATAAAGAACAAAACTAAAATGAGTTAAATCTTAAGAATATTTATCTCTTTGAAAGAATAATGATTAATCATAAATTATCATAATTTTTTTTTTTTTTTTTTTACACTATCGCATGTTTTATGTTCGGATTGTATTTTTAAAATAAGAAAAACATAATAATTAAAAATATAAAATTATCCATAAAAATACTTAGTATTTTTATTAGAAATTATAATTATTATTTTTGTTATAATATAATAAAATATAGTGAAAATAATGATACTTATCAAAAAAAAAAAAAAAAAAATGTCAGTAAAAATAATTTGATATAAATTTATAAGAAATAATATGTATATATATATTATATAAAAATATTCTATATATTCATTACATCATAAAATAAAAAACTCTTTAATAAAATTAAATATATATATATATACACTGAGTCTAAATCAATGTATAAATGATATTTATTTTAAAAATTAACTTATAATACATTATAGCGAATAATAAAATAAAATAAAAATAGTATAGAAAAAAATTATTAGACTTAGTGATATATTAATTTATTATCTAAACATACTATAGTATTATTTATTTTTGCTTATTTTTTAATTATAATAAAAAATTTTTTTTAAAAAAAAAAAAGTAGAAAGAAAAATATATTTTTTAATTTAATTATATTTATATTAAATACATTTTATGTTTATTATTTTTTAAATATTATTTTCAAAAATTTCAAACTTAACACTGTAAGTAATTACAATACATATAATATCAAGATTATCCTCAATAATTATTTTATATTTTTGATAATGTGTATATTTTTATTTTATAGATAATCTAATTTATAATTTTATAAAATAATTAAATGTAGAAGCATATAAGACATTTTATTATTCTTTGTATTGTTTTTCATTGAAAATATATCATAAAGTTTTTTTTTTTTTTTTTTTTCTTTTTTTAATTTTTTTTACTTTACTCAAGAAATAATATATTTAATCTTTATACATTAATTTAATTCTTTCTTTATTTTTTATTTGAATGAATTTGATCTCTGTAATTGCAGTAATATAAAATATATACCTAATGAAATTATAAAACCGTAATTATCTAAGAAAAATAAATAATTTTAAAAAAAAAACTTTTCTCTATTATTAACTTATTTTATTTTCATTACATTTTCTAAAAATAAAAGAATAAAGTACATATTCTTTAAAATATTTTTAAAATCTTACTACATAAAATTATAAAAATTTTAGCTTAAATTTAAAAAAAAAAAAAAAAAAAAGTTCTAATATAAATGTTTCAATTAAAATATTAAAAGATGTAAAATTAATTGATCTAATTATTCTTTTGTAATTAAAATTAGCATATTTTTTTTTTTTTTAGAATAATAGAATTTCAAAAAGAGCTTAGAAAAAATATTTATAATGCTTTGAATATAATTCAAATTTTTATATATAAGAAAATATTACTTTTATTCTTTTTTTTTTTTTTTTTTTTTTTTTTTTTTTTTTTGAAATATTTTATTGAGATTTTTTAATATTATATATAGCAACTCCAACACCATAAGAATATTTACAATAACAAAAAAATGTAATTTCATGAGGTACTTTTTCAGGAATCCATAAATAAGAAGTAGTAGAGAATTTTTGAAAATTTTTATCTTTCTCAGAAGATGAAAATTCAGGAAAATATTTTGCATCAGGTAATAAGTTATTTATATTCATTGTTACAAAATTCAATGTTGATAATGAAAATGATACTGTACCAAAACAAGTAGGTGGTAAAATCTGTATCCCTTTAAAATTATTACTATTATAATTATTACAATTAATCCCAACTACATCTCCACCAGCAGCTTCTATTTCACATGTAAAATTCTCCTTTTGTGACATAGTTTTTGTTAAAAATTTGTATTTTCCTTTATTATTACCATAATCACATCCTTTAATGTATTCTTCATTATTATTAAAACTATTTTTAGTTCTAAGATTTATTTTAATATACGGTGTTATATTTTCATCCCCATTTGAATGATCACATGTGCAAACAATTGTTACATCTTCCTTTACATAAAAAGGAGCATATATACTTAAATGATTTCTACCATATTTAATCACATTTTCTAATATTATTCCTGGTAATGTTTCATATATTTTTTCTTCTCTATTATTAATGATAAGTGTATCTTTTACTCCTAAATACTTAAAACAGTAACTTGGATTATATCCTACCTTTTTTACACTATCTATTGGGCATAACAATTTTGTTATTTTATTATAATCGTAATTAACTGTACAATTTTCAGTTGGATAGTCTTTTAAATTACAGATATAATAGTTACCTACCTCCAACACTTTTACATCTAGCATATAAATAGGGTTATATAAAAAAAAACATAAATATACAACTATTGAAAAGTAAAATGACTTTTTCATCTTATAAAAAAAAAAAAAAAAAAACATAAAAAAAAAAAAGATAAACGTTAAATAAAAAGATAAAAATACTAATCTATAAGTGAGGAAAAGAGATGTTAATTTTTTGTCTCACTTATTCTAAATAATAATATCTAATAGAAACAAATATATTGCCATATAAATATTTATATTAATTTTTGTTATTTAAAATATACTTTATAAAATACAAATAGTGAAATATAAATAATAAATAAAAAATTTATTTATCGAAATATACATATATCTACATATTATTAACAAAAGTAAAAATATAGAAGTTTGTCATATCTTAAAATAATATTTTATAAAGTGAAATTTAATTATTTATTAATATATATTTATCTTGTCTTTTTTTTTTTTTTTTTTTCTGTCCTTAAATGTGAAAATATTTAAGCATGAAACAACATTTCAAAATTACAGAATGATTCAAAATTCTTACAAAAAATCAAAGTAACATATTTTATACTTAACTGAAACAATATTTTACTTAATTCAGTTAAAATAATTTTTATAAGTGTAATTTTTTTTTTTTTTTTTTTCATTCATTTAAAAATAACACAAATATAAAAAATATAAAAGTAAAAAATGAAAATTAAAAAAAAAAAAAAATTTTAAACATGCAACTATAGGTAGAATTAATCTTAAATGAGTATTTAACTCAAAATATTATTTTTTTAACAATTTATTTTTAACATATTTTTATATACTTACAATAGATCAGAAAAATTAAAAACTCATTAATTTTTATGCATGAAAAATGATATAATATATAAAGGTGTTTTAACAAAGACAATGATTGGGCATAAATTGTCAATGATAGTAGCACCAGTAAATTGTACATAAAATTTTTTAAAATATTTGTCTACATATTTAAAATATCATAAAAAATAAGAAAAAAGAGTAAATATATTATTATTGATTAATTTTTCTTTTTTTTTTTTTTTTTCTTAATATATGAAAAATTAACTTTTAATTTTTTTCTTGTTATGGATTAACTTTATTTTAATTCTTCTTCTTCTTCTTTAATTAAGAATATATATTCAACTATCTTTTCCTTTTTAAATTTTTACAAATAGTATAATTCTATAATAGATATTCTTAGGAATCTTATAAAAAGATACTTTTAAAAATGAAAGGAATTTATATATTAAAAAGAAAAGTACTATTTTAACTTATGCAATTGTTGTGTAAGTATTATCCTTAAATAAAATTTTAACCTTTATATTAAAAAAAAAAAAAAAAAAAAATAGGACACACCTAAAATTTTCCTTTTATTTTATTTTATTATTTTCAAAAAAAATTACATTTAATGAAACACAATAAAAAAAAGTAATACAGGAATTATTATTAACCGTAGAATATAAAAATTCAAACATGTTTTTTTTCATCAAATATCTATCCTATTATATTTTTTAATATAATAAAATAAGTTTTCATTTCATTTTACTATTTTAAGTTTATCAAAATATTCAATTTATTGTTAAGCAATTTAAATTAAAAAAAAAAAAGCATATTTTGTAAAATATAATAAAATTAGTGTTACAAAAGTTTACGACTTAAATATAAAAAACAAATCATCTATCTTATTAAAAATTTTAAAATACAAAAAAAATTTTCATTTTTCTTTTTTTTTTTTTTTTTATATCTTAGTTCATCTATATAGAAATTATTATATATATATATATATGTATGTTATCAACAATAGATTTATAAATATATTAAAAATAAAAAACTATTATAACATTTTTGAATTATTAATTATATACAATAATAGAAAGCATAAAACTGTAAAAATATCCTAAAAGAAATGTTTAAATAATACTAAATATTTATATAGTAGTAAATATAAATCATTGTGTTATGACGAAGAATAAAAAAAAAAAAAAGAAAATATATTTGTTAATATTTTTTTAGATATATGTAAAAAAAAAAAAAAGTTGTAATTTTTAATATATTTGAATAAATAGGAACATATATAGTAAATAATTAAGTCCTAAATAATAAGAGGAAGATAATCCGAATAAGTTCTGCCAAAATGTTCTTCTACTTTTTCTTTTATCCATATTTAATCTATCTCTTATATCATACTCTTCATCTCCATTCTTATAAAATATCCTTTCAGTATCTTCAGTATTTTCATTATCAGAATTATTACTATTATCATAACCATAAATATATTTTTGGGTATCCAAATTTTGTTCATTATGGTAATTTGAGTAATTTTGATCATTTTGTATATCATTATCAATATGCTCAATTTGCTCAATGGGATCAACTTTTTTAACTATTCGTTCAACCCGTTCATTTTGTTTAACTGGTTCAACTGGTTTAACTGGTTTAACTGGCTCAACTGGTTTAACTGGCTCAACTGGTTCAACTGGCTCAACTGGCTCAACTTGCTCAATTCGTTCAACTGGATTAACTGGTTCAATTGGTTCAATTGATTCATCTTGATTATGTTGTTCACTACTTCCTTTAACACTATATTTTCCTTCATTGTTATCATCATCGAGAAAATTGTTTCTCGTTTTTGTGTAAATAACCATATAACCTGCATATTGATTTCTTTTACAAGCACAACCAATCCTTAGATTTTCTTGTAAATTGTCTGGTAAAATTAGATAGGAAAAAAAAGAATGCATTTTTGTTAACTCTACGTCAGATGATGGATCTGGTATAACTCTAGAATTTGGTATTAGATTTTTTGAATTTAATACTAGATCATATCCATAAAAAATATTATGAAAACATTTATTTGGTATCAACTCTAATTTATCATTATAACTATTATCGTTGTATTTTTTGAAACAATTTATTCCAATTATGTCACCAGGAAAAGCATGTACAACACAGGAGGAATTTTCATTTAATGTTCTGTTACTTGTAAGATCTCTTCTTGATTTCACGTTATCTCCAAAGTCACATCCTTTAATTTTTTTGCTTGTCTTTCTAAAATTTATTCTCATTATATTCTTTATATTAGTTTTTTTATCTCCATAACATAAACAACTAAATTCAATATCTTTATTTGAATAAGGAGTACCGTAAAAAGCAAAAGATGCTGTTAGAGAGGAATTATTTGTTCCATATAAATTTTGAAAAATATCATAAGTATTAGTTTCAGGTGAGTTTTCATTTGGATTATTTTGATTTACATATGTTTTAGAGGCACATTCAGCAGGTTTTGCTCTTGCTATTAAACTATTAGAATCATCTACTTTGCAAATAAATAAAAGTAATTTACCAAATTCGTTTTCTAATATACATTCTTCAACTTCATCTGATCTCGTATTTACAATACATAAGTTAACATTTCCTATTTTTTGTACAGGTTTTATTCTATTACTATGAACTACATAGTTGTAAATAACACACAAAAAATAATATAACAGAACTTTTTTATGTTTCATATTTTGTTCAAGATTATCAAGCATAACATTAATAAGAAAAAAATAAAATAAAATAAAATAAATGAAATATTCAAGTAAAAATAAAAATAATGCATAAAAATAAGAAAAAGAAAATGAAGGAAAATATAAAAATGACAAAAATACAAAAATATATAATTTTACTCTTTTAAATATACTCAAGTAAAATTACTAGAAAAACAAAACAAAGAAAAATTGTGTCTTAAAATAAAATGATATTAATACAATTTTAAAAATACATTCCAATAGAGATGTTAGAATTTTTAACATAAAAAAAAAATTGAAAAAGTAATAATAAAAATAGATATAAAAGATCAAACTTAATCTGAAAAATTAAAAAAAAAAAAACTAAAAAATAAATAGTACTCTTTTTTATATTCAAAGAAAATTGTTGAAAAGAAAAAATACTAAAAAATAAATATTCCAATAAAATGAAGTTATTTCATTTTTAAATAAATTTTGCTGTCTTTTACAGACATCCAAATTAAAATTTTAAATAATATATTGAAAAAAAATAAAAAAAATTACATTTAGAATTAACATGTCTTATTTGTTTCGCTTTATGTATAAATGAAAATTGTTCATTTAAACAACAGAAATTATATACATATATATAATTTTATAAATTAATTGTATATATTGTCAAATTAAGGTTATATGAATAAATTTTCTCTTATACTTAAATTAGTACATATAAAAAATGAAAAACTAATGTAACAAAAAGAAAAATGTGTGTAAATTTTTTTATTTTTTTTATTTCTCTTTTATGTAATTATATAAACTTACATTTTTACTCAAGGAAGTAGAATAGCCTTTTTCTCCTTTTCATTTTATAAAATTTAGATTGCATGCAAAAAATAATACTCAAAAAAAAAAAATCCTTTTTAATGTGTTATGAATAAATTAAATTTAAGGATCATTTTTTTTTTTTTATAGATAATGTAAATGATTTGAGAAAAAAAAAAAAAAAAAAAAAAATCTTATTTATTCTATATATAGTATTAATATTAAAGATGTTCTAATTTTATTCTAGATTTCAAATATTAAAATAGACATTTTTTTATTGCTATGATTAAGAGTTTACAGGTATTAGTAATCATTACTCTTTTTTTTTTTTGAATAATCTCTTTTTATTTTAAATAAAAATATTATAAAAAGAAATTATCATTTTATAACAATGAATAAAAAAAAATTTTTGTTAGTTTTATTATATAAGCCTTATTAAATTATTAAGATGGAAATCTTCAAAATAACGTGAGATATTAATATATTTTTGTAGATATAAAAATAAAGTGTTGTTAAAAAAAAAAAAAAGAAACGTAATAAAAAGAAAAAGATGTATTGTATAAGTTAAAACATATATACAGAGTATCCCAAAAATATGAAAGATATGTGAACTATTATAATAAGAATAAGTTAAAAATTTTTAAATAAAATATTGTAATATATATAATTAAAGGAAAATATAAAACTTGTAATTATTTACAAGAAAAATTTAAAATATAAAGAAATATGGACATTTTCATATATAAAACTAAAAATGTATAAAATATTAGATTGTGTATTAAAGTTTCATGTAAATGTTGTAAAATAGAATGATTTTTTTAATTTTATTTTTAAAAGAAATCTTTTTATATTAAATAATTTAATACTTAAAAAAGTAACTAAATGACTTATGAAAAGAGAGAAAAAAAATAAACGAATCAATATTTTTTACATTAACTCTCTTTAAAAAAATAAAAATTTATGTCTTTCTTTAATTTTTTATGAAATTTTTTTTTAGTAAAAATAATATTTTTATTTATAAGTTATCCCAAAATTTAATCCTTAATATAAGGTACTTTTTTTTTATAATTTCTTATCATTTAAGTTACTAATGCATATATTATTCTGAAGAAAGAGTAATAAAGAAAAAAAATTCTTTGTATATTATTTCTATTAATTTATTTTTTAAATCCAAATATAAAAAAGACAATTATCTTTCTCTAAATTGTAAACTACATGACATTACAATGTTATTGATTTTCCTTTTATAATTGATATTATAGAAATATGAAATTTTTAAATTAAATAATTATCAATATAAATTATCAAGTATGCTAATGTAATGTAATTTTTTTTAAATTAATTTTTATAATTGTACTATAAAAAAAGTTTTATTTTTACATGAATTATAATAAAATATTTCAATAAAAGAAAAAAAAAAAAATTACTTATACAACTAAAGGATAAATAATTTATATGGTCCTATTAGAAATATTTTCTTATACTTTATTGCAACAATGTTTATATATGTATATATATATATAATTGTTAAAATTAAAAACTTACAAAAAAATTAATAAATAAACAAATAATTACAAAAAATAAAGTAATATATACTAAAAAAAAGTAAAGATAAAATAGAAAAGGTAAAATTCTAAATTATAAAAACTATTCAAAAATTAAGTATATATAGTAGATTTAAGAGGAGAAAAAAAAAAAATATAATGATATATTTTTTTTTATTTTGTAATATTATAAATTAAAAAATTTTACGCAAAGAAATAATAATTTAAAAAAATTAAAAAAGAGTGATTCATTTTTTTTTAATTTAAAATAAGAACACAAAAATAAAGTATATATGTATGTATTAATTATAAATTGCAATATATAAATATGTGAAAATTAAAACAGTAAGTAAAAAAGAATAATGTTCTAATATAGAGTTTCCTTCATTTTCATCACTTATGTTATTCCTATTTGGTATTTTCTTATTTATTTTCTCTTCAGTTTTTCCTTTATTATATATATTATAAGCAAATAAACTAGAATTTTTTTCTAAATTTAAAAAAAGAGTACCAGAATAAAAATCAGATGAAGAAAAGTCAATAATTATGCAAGAGCATTTAATTATTAACGTTTCTTGAATGGAAGATGGTAATAATAAATAAGATGACAATTTTTTTTTTTTATTATCATTATAATAAAAAAAAGATTCTGGAATTACTTTAGCACCATTAATCAAACCAAAGATATTAGTTTCTTCATTATTTTCATCCAAAACCATATGAAAACAAAATAATGGTGAAATAATAAAATTACTATTTGCATTACTAGAACATTGAAAAAAGATAGTATCATTTGCATTGCCATCAATAGTACAATTATTATTATGTTTTATATATAAATTTTTTTCTGAAGGATTTTCATTTTTCCTTATGTTTTCTGAATAATAAAAATTACAACTTTTCACTTTTTTTGTGTTTTTTGAAATTTTAACATTCAATTTAAATGCTTTTTTTTTATCTTTATCAATACAATAACAAGAAAAAATTATATTTTCATATGTATTATGAGGTATAAAGAAAGAATATAAGTGTAATGAATTACCTTCATATAAAATAATATCAGGTAATAATTCTTCTAATTTTTTTAATTTTTTATCATTGTTTACCATAATATTATTAAAACATATATTATCGTTACTTATCTTAATTTTGTTAAAATATATGCTTTCATTATTTTTTAAAAAATCAGTAGGACAATATAAATTTACTTGTTTACCAAATTCAGTAGTTATGTTACATTCTTTTTCGTTATTATATTCTGAAATACAAAGTATTAAATCATCCTTTTCCATAAGACAAAAAACATTTTTTTTAAATTCTAATACAATTATTATAAACAAAATAGTAATCATTAAAAATATTGACCTTAAAAAAATATATCTTTTTACAACGAAAAAACAAATATTATACATATTTTTATAGATATTTTATAAAAAGACATACTTATATAAGTATATTCACTATTTTAAAAAATATAATTTGATTTTAAAAGTTTATTAAAAAATGAAACGATATGTTTATATATAAATAATTCAAAATGTTAATCTCAAGATAATATTAATAACAATGCAAAAAACATAAAAAAATTAAATCCAATATGATAAAAACATTATTTCTAAAGTAAATTATAATTACAAATAAAAAAAAAATTAAAATATTTTTCTATTTAATAAGTATAGTTATTTACAAATATAAAATATAGAATAATATGAAAACTGTTAAGAAAAAAAAAAGATTTAATGTTCTTCTAAGAATATATAATAATAAAAGTATATAACAATATAAATATATATATGTATATATATGTATTTAAACTTATATTTTAAAAGAGAATATTCATCAAAAAATAAATTTGTTACAACATATGTAATTTTTATGAAAAATTTTTTTTCAAAAACTAAAAGATTTTATGTGAGTTAAAAAAGCGTTTATTAATAAATAAGCAAAAAAAGTTATGATATATAAAAATTAATATTTTATTATTATTTCATAAAATTACACAAAAAAAAAAAAAAATGAAAATTACGTATTCATATTTTAATCAGAAAATTAGTTAAAAACTGTTGTTTTTAATTCCCTTCAAAATTGATATACATGTGGTATTTTTTAAATAAGACCAAAAAAAAAAAAAAAAAATTTCTTTTAAATGAATCTATTTTCAAAATAAATATCTAAAGTGATTAAAAATATAAATTTATTTATATTAAAAATCTAAAGAAATTTATTAAATTAACTTTTTGAGAAAATAATTTTTTTTTTTTTCTTTTTAAAAAGAATCAGGTTTACTCAATTATCGTGGAGAGTTAAGATTAAACATTTGCATGCATGTTAAAATATGATTCAAATAAAACTTTTTCTTAATAAAGTTATTTAGACAACTTTTTTGTTTAAAAAGAATATAAAAAAGAAAAAAAAAATTTCATTTTTTTATTTTTTAAAAGCAATTTATCCCTTTATTATTAAAGATAACAAGTAAAAATGCCTTATTTAAAATTTTAGTTTTAACTTAAATCTACCATTTATCTTTAATTTCTCTTTATTTAAAAGCTTTAAATAGATATCCATCTTATATAAAAATAGCTTTTTTATAAATTAATCTATTAGTATCATTTGAACAAAGTAAATGAAAACTACTAAAAAAAATATACATACGATAAAATCATAAAAAAAAAGATAAATGTTTAAAAAGAGAAGAATCTTTGTTTAAATAAGGACAAAATACAAAAGTAAATAATAAAAAAAACACTAATTTTTCTAGAAATAATATCTATTAATATAGAAAATAAACTTATAAAATTTTATTAGTTTTGATATATTTGTTATATTTATGAATACACATATATATATACATATATATGATTTATATAATTAAGATACACATCTTAAAATATAAAAATAAGTTCCTGTTATAAATTAATTATTTTATTAAAAAACGATAATATTTTTGTTTATATTAATAACTAATTATACAATTATACAAAAGTCTTTATAAAACAAAAATTAAGAACTATTTTACTATAATTTATCTCAAATTTTCAATTTAAATAATAGTAATCTTTTTATCTTTTAATAAATATAGAAACTAATAATAAAAAATTCAATAGAAATAACTATAATGAATATTTTAATAGTTTTTATTTAAAAATATTGTAAAATAATATAATACAAATATCATTTATGATTTAATATATATTTATTTATTTTAAATTTAGAAGAAAAAAAAAAAATTCAAAGTAAATGCCTATAAATTGTCTTATAAAAAGATAATAAAAAATACCTTTTTTATTTCATCTGTTTATATATATATTTATTTATTTTTTAATTTAATTCCTCAAATTTTACTAAGGTTTAAATGTGAATGAAATAATACTAGCATAAGATCTTCCATACATTACTTAAAAAATATTTTTATATTTATATCTAATAATTCTAATTTATCTAATTAAATATACTTTTATTTTTAATATAATAAAAAGCACATAATCTTTTTTCCAAATAATTTCTAAAATGTTGTAAATAATAATAAAAAGAGAAGGATATATGATTACACTATTTCTATTTTTATTTTATTTATTTGCTCTTTTTTTTTTTTTTTTTTTTTACTTATATAAGAATCGCTATTATTTTATATTAATTTAGTAAATGCATATTTATAAAAAGATTTTGATGAAATGCAAAAACAAATTATGCAAATAAGATGATATGCATGTTCTAATACTTTAGATATACTACTAATCTTGAATCTATTATCTTATAAGACAATGGTTATATATATATATATATATATATTTAAAAAAAACAATATATCCCAATAAAAATAACAATAAATTATTCTATT